AAAAAAACATATACAAGGTGCGCCAGAACTCAAGCCCCAGAGAAAAATGCCATATAAGATAAGATACCAGGAACATGGAAAAAATGTTAAAAAAAATTATCTATGAAAATTTCAAAGACTCTATTTATTTCTGTTGGAAAAATAATTTTCCAAGTTTTTTTGCTACACGCTATTAGAAGACAAAACAAGGAAGCTATTAAATAATCGTAAAAAAATATAAAACCAGATCATCAGTATCAATAAATAGACAAAAAAATGTTAAATGTCAAAATTTTTTGATAGATACTGTTACTTGAAATTTTTCTCTGGGGCGCGAGTTCTGGCGCACCCTGTAGAAGATCATCAGTATAATAAAAAAAAAAAGGCAAATATCAAAAAATAAATGTCAAAATTTTTTGACAGACAAAATTTTTTAAACATTTTTTCCACGTTTCTGGTATTTTATCTTACTTACAAAAAACAAAAAAAAACAACGTGAAAATTTAGGCCCAATTTGTAATGCACATTTGTTAAATATTTTTTATTTTTATCAAGAAAGTGACGAGAATACCTACAATTACGTAATCAAATGAAAATTAAAAAGCCAAAATTTTGACATTTCAACATAAAAACTACCATAATTTTTTTACAAAACTTCTAGAGACGAAGGCACAAAACAAACAAAATTTTTTGCTGTGAACATAAACTGCTTCCAATTTTTCTTACTATTTTTTATCAATTAATTAAATGAACAAAAACACGAATAACCCGTCACACCAAACTTTTATTTAAAACACAAAGTCGTCATCCTAAGATGAGAATAAAACTTAATTAATTAAATGTAGAAAATATATGAACATACAAAAAAAATTGCTTTTTGTTTTTTTTTTTTCGTTGATTTTATATAATTATTGGTTATTGAAACTTTTGAAGTAAATGTTGTGATCTATTAATAAAAAATATTTTTAACTCTTAAGATCCTACAATAAATAATAGATTTTTTGGTTTTTTAAAAATCAACATCACAAATCCGTCAAATTTTGAAATTATCATATTTACAATTGACAGATTATTATTCAACAAAATGATCAATTGAATAAAATCTGACTGTAAACAATTACATTAGAATAGCTAGGTAGGTTTTATAAAGCCATATTTTAAATAATGCTTTCTTAATAAAAAAATCACAACTTAAAAAATTCCATGCGTTCTTATCAAAAAAACCTGTAAAATGTATTTGGTAAAACTACAGACATAAAATTTGAGATTTGTTTTAGGCCACTTTTTTTGAATTTATGACAAAAATATTGAAAAAGAAAAAACTAAATCAGAGTAACGTTTATTAATAGTCAACACACAGTTTAATAATACAGTAAAAAAAATCGTGTAAATGGTTAGAAGTAATTAAGTACATTTAGATGTTTTGTTTTGAAAGTACCTGTAGGTATTATTAGGCTTAAAATATCAYGGCAATTGATTTTTAAAGCAATAAATACTCAATTCACTTATTTTCAATAAAAAGCTCGATAACAATACTCATCAAGTTAATATAATTCTGCTACTCAACTTGATTATTGGCACTCATGTAAAGTATATGGTACTACATCAGATTATGCTCTCGATAATTATCCTCTTCATGTTTAATCCGCACTTATTCTCTCTTCAATGCAGTATTTCCTTCCGTCAAAATTTTAAGAAATAAAAGTTAATTAATTCTCCTTAGCAACAAAACCTAAAAWGATAATTTTATTGCCATGTCATATCGATAACAAAAATGAAAATGAATAAATTAAAAAGTATGAGWTTTAGATCGAATCATTTTGATAAAATGTTACTTTTTGATCTGAGTACTTGCGTGAAACGTATATACATGTYGCCGTAAAAATCACGAGAATTGATCGTGTTTCTTATCAAATAAAATATTTGTTTTATTTATCAGCTACCTGTTTGTGAGTTTCTCTTTTGCCCTTCACTTGTACCTACTGACAATATCATTTTTATCTATATCGATTAATTGCTAAATCAGTTAACGGAATAAAGTACATGGTGTACACTTAAAAATAAAACTTGCACTTAAATTTTATTACACCCTAAGAGTATGTTGGCCATAAATTTTAACATAGATTTATTGTTGCAATATTTGATTTTTTTGACTTTGTATTATACATACCAATACCAGGTAAACAGAAAGTCATGGAACCAAACGTTTTTTGCTTAAACTATTTATTTTTTGAAAAAACTAATCGATTTTGAAAATTAATAAACAATCACTACTTAATATAAAGAACTATAAAAATGTGACGTTTCTGAAAAATAAAATTTTTTGAATTTTTTTGTTATTTTTGATATTAAGTTTTTATATGTATTTATTTTTTAAATAAACATATATGAAATTATTGGTTTATTTTTCCTTAATTACTTAATTAATTAGTGAGTATGAATTTGCAAGWCTGGACCCCGATATGTAACGCCCACAATCGCCGCCTATGGTTACAGCTGATCGCAACACTTGCGATCAGCAGCTCATCACTAAAATACGCCTCGCTATGGCTAGGATTAAGTGRAAAAAAGTTATCATAATAAAAGCATCAAGAGCATATTTAAAAACATAATTCAAAGAAATAGCGAATAAGGTACTTTATAAAAACCCAAAAATTCAATAAATTAAAAAACAATAATTTAGATTAATAGTTATTATTTATGTTTCAAGGGCATTATGACATCCAAGAGCGACAGGACGAAGGCCTCAGGCACGAGACTCTTGTAAGTCATGAAAGGGCCATAGACATAAAATAATGCCCACGGTTCATACAACGTTTTGTGTTTCAYCTAAAAGAAATAATTTGACAATGCCAAAATATACAGGTGCGCCAGAACTTGCGCCCCAGAGAAAAATTTCAAGTAAGATAAGATACTCACCAAGAACATGGAAATTTTTTTTTTTAAATTCTATCTGTCAAAAAATTCTGTTATTTATTTTTTGACAATTATGTCTTTTTAATGATACTGATGATCTTGTAATTTTTTAAACATTTTTTCCATGTTCTTGGTATCTTACTTTATATGACATTTTTCTCTGGGGCACGAGTTCTAGCGCACCCTGTATACAAGGTGATTCAAAAGTGTCGGACCATCTCTTGGGTGGTGACATCCATCTGAGTTAAAGGTTCCCATGACAAAAAATTGTTTGAACTTTTTTTCACAAGATATAGCTCTTCAAAGATTAGATTTCGGATTAAGTTTTTGTCAGTTCCGATTATATAGTCTTAAATTTAGTTAGCGGAAACCACAAATCTTGTAAGACTAATCAAATACCTGATAAAAAAATCAACAATTTGTGTCTTATGGTGTAAAAAACATTTATCAAACTAACAAATTTAAAAATAAATTAAATCTAACAACATAAAATAAAAAAACTAAGATGCCTACATATTAATATAAAAATTAACAGTTTTATTTTTTTCAAAAAAAAAATGCTTGAAACAATATCTGAATTCATTTTTATGTTTAACTGAAAGTCTTCTATCACCATTTGAAAGTTGATCCGACATTTTTGAATCACCCTGTATGACAAATTATCAAGTGAAGTAGCTTATAAATGCACAGTGCCCTAAAAAACAATTAAAGTTTTTTGGCARCTAAATTGTGAAAACCCCTAATGCCCTAGGATATAATTTCTTTATAATAGAAGACATTATAGATCAATTATAAAGAAATAAGACAAAAAATAACTCAAAATGCAAATTCAAATTTAATTCAATTTAATATTTTAAACCTTATTGCCACTTTGTTATTTTCAAAACGGTTGATCAATATTCAGACTGTTTAATTGAGTGACCGAAGTTTTTTAGCTCGAGAGTGAAAAAATGAAAAAAAAATTAAAATTGAAAAATATTACATTATTAATAAAACAAAATTCAATTTTGATAATTTTAATATTTACCGCATTATTAATATT